GTATTACCAAGGAGCATGTGAGAAATTCCAAATCTCAAGCCCCCATCCAAGATCTACTGAGTCAGAATCTGCATTTTAACAATATCCCCAAGTGATTTATGTGCATATTAAAGTTTGAGAAGCATTGATAACCTACTTATGAGAATATTTATGGTTAAAATCTAATAAGCTCTACTTTTGAAAAGCTCCACAGATGTACAACCAAGATGAAGAATCAAACATAAGCACTGTGGTTCAAAGGTGAAGAGATAGAAGGTTCTCCTTTTGCCAAGACTAGTTTGCACAGCAAAATATCCCAGTAAACTCCAGCTATTTACCAACTATCCTTCATAGTTATTTCATCAGGTAACTGCGTCTCTGGTACTCGTCATGCCTTTAGGGGGATTTAGCCAACCTAACACTCTTAGTCATATGATATACATGCACATGCATACACACATGCGGACGCACACACACACACCCAGATCTACTCAGATTAACTAATTCCACCTGAAGAAAGAAAAAGAAGAATTTAATGTATATCTTGCCAGTAGGGAATTACAAAGAGACCCAGGACTCCAAGAAAATAAAGGATCTTCAGTAGGTTGGAGCGCAGTGTTACAACATCAAGGTCAAGGGTTGGATCCCTGTACCAGTCAGCCGTGGAAAAAAAGAAAATAAAGGATCTCATTGACAGACGTCTAAGCACTTTTTTTTTTCCCTGACCGGTAAGGGGATCGCAACCCTTGACACGGTGCTGTCTGCACCACGCTCAGCCAGTGAGCACACCAGCCATCCCTATATAGGACCTGAACCTGCAGCCTCAGCGCTACCAGCGCTGCACTCTCCTGAGCAAGCCACGGGGCCGGCCCTAAGCACGATTTTATTAAAGTATAAGAGACCTTGCAAATATTAAATACTAGAAAGTTTCAAAGACTTAAGTATTATTTTATCACTGGAGGTACAATAGAAGGAAGACAGGTATGCAATGAAGGAGGATTTCAATTTGTGTGGTTCTTTCAAAATGACAATTTTGGAAAAGACAAGATTTCCTGTCGGGCCTTAAAAACTAATGCCACCTTAAGTGACATTACAAGCGGCACCATTACAGGCCCACAAGGGCGTATTAACATGGCAGCCTAAGACAGTGCAGGGAGGAAGTAGGGTGGGAGTGTCTGCGGGAACCTTGCCTTAGCCCTTATTGGCCAAATACGCGTTTCCGCGCTCGTGAACACTGCGTGATTGCAATAGCTAGGCATTGAGACAGGATGCATGCTCTCGTAACCTTTAAGCTGATTGGAGGATGTAAAAACCTCCCTTCCCCATTTGCCTTTAAAAGCAAGTGCTTGTGTGATAATAAACAGAACTGCTCGACAGAACCCCCGCCGCGTCTGAGTGTCCTTTAACCGGGCTGGTTGGGGCCAGCGGTTGTGCTCACCTCTCTTCATGGCTCTCTTCCCCCATCTCCTTCCAAAGGGGACCAGAGGGAAAGAGGAATCCAGGCCATTCGCTTGCCCACCAAAAGGAACGAGGCTAGGGCTGTTCGGGTTGGCCGGCGGAGGACCCAACAATTTCCCATTAGTAAAACAGCAAGTAGTGGGATACACTTTCAAGTCACTAAAAGCAGGTATGTGAGGGCTTGCAGAAATCAACACCAAACACCTGAAGCAGAGTAGGACTCGTAATTTTGTAGGTTATTTTTCTCTAGGAATTAGTATAATGATAGCAAGGAGAAATTCTGAGATTTGCCTCTCTAAGTTCTGCAACCAGGAAGCCTAGGAAATAGTCCAATATATAAAAGATGGTCTAACTTGAGTAATAGGAGATAATCTGGGGAAATGAGGAGATAAGAAGATACACCCTAGAATCCAAAGTATAAGAGGCTAAATGTGCTGTGGTAATACAGTAGATCATATCCACCAAAGGACATTCAAGTAAATGTGGGATGATTCAAAATGATTCATCTCTAGCAATACAATATTTCAGAGATGTGACTTGATGTTTTCTAGATTAAAAATTTTAGACTAGTGGTTCTCTGCCATGTCTGATTATAACCTGGGGCTTTTCCAAAAATCACCTACACCCCTAACCCTAACAGAAATCTTATGTGCCCAAGGATGAGAAGATGACATTATGGCCAAAGACACAGATTTGTCCCCCTCACTGAGTTGATTCTGATACAATCTACCTACCTCTACATTCATGCCATTAAACATCAAGGAACAGCTGTATCTGTGGGCATTCTGAATTAAACCAAATTTTGGCCTGGAGATTTAGTTTATTTTATATTGCAATACTGCCTCAAGTTAATGACTTTCTTGGGATTCATTAGCTGAGGGACCTAACTTATAGAAACCCTCAAAAATTTACATATTGTAACATCTTTACAAGATACCTGAACATACTGCACTTGATGAAATAGGGAGAAAAAGCGGCTTGGGTATTATAATAATATTTACATCTCTACATTATCCTAGCTTACTTTGTTGGTCTCATCTATACAGAGCATTTTTGTATTATCCATTTTTTAAAGTTACGAAATATATCAAGTATATGGAAAAATATAAAGATTAATTGCAGGACACCTGTGTAACTACTACCTAGCTTTCTCAAACCTTTATAATTTCCCTATCAATTTGGTATTTAATCTCTAAAAATAAAATGTGTAAAAAAAGTTCAAGTCCAAGTTGAAAAAAAAGCCCAAACCTTTAAAACCACTTTTTCATTTTCAGAAATTACTATAAATTTTAGCTATGACTTGATAAAATGATTATCTATCATTATTTACTAGATTTCTGACATTTGGGGGGCTTTTTTGGTTTGAATCTCTTGCCAATATATGACTACTAAAGTATTCTGGCAAAAACAGAGTAATTACATTCCACTGTTTAACATCAAGTTTTCTATTTTATAGCACTTCTAATAATGATAATTTCTCTAGTAACATCAGAATATAATAATTCCCTCTTATATTTATTTTTCTTTCTTTAGGTCATCTGTCCTTGCTGTAATAATCTCATATGCCTTAGTGTCAGCTTTTTCATGTGTGTGAACAATGAATAGATTAAAACAGAAATACTGTCATCCTTGTAAATCATATATAGGTTTTCATAAAGTACTATAAAAACTGACTTAATGCTAAATAATTTTATGTGTGAACTGCTGTACACCTAACTGGTAATCCACTTTCTCAAGATCAAATAGATTAACTATGAATAATAAGAGGAGACAGTGGAAATATTAATAAATGGCAACCCAAAATACCCCTTACTCTGTTATTTCAGTCGTTTTTCTACCAGTTATATTCTTAAGAAAAACTCTCCTTTTAAGAACTGCGATTCTATTGTTGACAGTTAAGTTCTGAATATTACATAATAGCTAGAGGAGAGGTTTTTGAATGTTTTTGCCACAAAGAAATGATAAATGGAGGTGACTGATACATTAACTACCCTTACCCAATTATTATACAACATATATACACATCAAAATATCAGACTGTACCCCATAAGTATGTACAATTATAATGTGTAAGTTACAATAAAATAAGAGATTGGAAAAAAACTGCAATTAAGAGGAAAGAGAAGTAACATTAAATCATTTATTCATTCAACAAACACTTATCAAGCATGTACTATAAGTGCTAACTAGGCCTAGGCACTGTGTCAAGTGGTCAGGTTAAGATGCAGTCTCTGATTTCAAGTAACTCAGGGACTACTCAAAGGTTACTTTCATGTTTATAACTTCATCCATCAGCCATCCAACAATATTTTTTTGTGAGCTGCTACACACCAATCACTCTTCTTTGTGATGGAGATAGAGCAGTAAACAAAACAAAATCTTTGCTCTAACGGTGGAGTCTCCATTATGATAAGGGGAAACAAGGAAACAAAAACATATGCTAAGTGGTTTTTTTAAAAGCTACAAAATAAAATTAGCATACAAAGACAGAAGGACAGTAATTTTATATCGGGTAATACCGTTTATATATTCATGTTGAAGATACATCTAGTGAGCAAACCTCTTATTCATGCTCTCATTTAATTAATATCTTGAAGGGCACCAATCACCTCCACATCACCAAATCAAACAGGATTTTCTCAGTCTCCATTATCCTTATACTGCTTCCTCTAAGCATATGATTCTGACAAACACCTTCATTATGAAACTCTACTGGTCTGCGTGACAAATTTCCTACCCTGGTTCTTATCTTTTGCCATTGGTGTGACATCAGCAGAGGATACACAATCACACCTAGGATTTAATAGAGATCATTCCCTATCCAACTAGGGGAAGCAAATTTTAACTGATGTCAAAATTGGACAGCACTTGAAAAAACTTAATTTTATTCTTAATTTCCAGTAGTTTTTAGAAGAGTATATAACAATGTAATGACATATATTCAAAGCACTGAAGAGTAATAACAACATCAAAAATAAGTACTATAGGACATTTTATATTTTATAAAGCCTTTTCATATTTTATTTAATTAATTTAATCTTCATAAAATGATAATACCCTATGAGGTACGTAAAAGTTCCATATCAAAAACTAGTTCCTACTTTTCATAGTAACATCACTAAAAAGCTAGATTTAATTAATACCCTTTTCTTTTTTCTTTTTTTTTTTTTTTTGCTATTTGGAAAATGCTTAAAAATATAATGAAAAACAGAAGAAACATCTGAAATCCCAATATTCAAAAATAATATGTGCTAACATTCTGGTGTATTTAATATTTCTTCCATCCCATCCTATTAAGTTTAACAGTTTTATAATTGATTTATGCTAACTAGAATATCAATATTCTGTAAAAACGAAGCTTGCTCTTTATTTAAAAATAAAGTGATGCGACCACATTGATCAAATGACTGTGAAATCAACTCAAACAATTTTTACAGTTTTTAAAACTGTAATTTCAGAGTCGCAAGTGGAAAAAGACAAATAAAGCAATTTATTCAATAAATATTTACATGCAAAGTGATATGAACAAAAGATTATATACTTTGAGAAGACTGGATTCTCACCTGTTCAATCTCTTTGGTTTTTGATGCTATCGCTTTCGAGCGACCACTTAGCTGACTGTCTTCAAATAATTCTATGCCTTCTGTTGCATTTGACTCAGGTTCTTCTGGCTGGTCAATGAACAATGGTGCTGTAGATCCCGCCTTGAAAAAGATTTAGAAGTCTTTAGTTACTTTCTTAAAGGACATACAGTATTTCAGATGGCTATGTATAGGCACTAATTCACAGTTACATTAAGAGAAACTGCTAGGTTTAACCTGTTTGGAGAAAAGAAAACTCCTTCAATTTCATTATGCATAATAAGCATATGTGAAGAGGATTTAAAAGGGAATGACTGCTACTTTTTAAAAAATTTTTAGGTAAGATAATGCTTCTAGGCTTAGTCCATTCCAAAATTATATTTCACACTACACTGAGATACAGCTATAAGGTTTTGTCCCATGACTATTCCTTAAGCAATTTACAGAACACTGAGGAGAAAAAGTCCAGTTGGAAATAAGAGAGAAGTGTTTGTACACATAAAGGAATATATTAAAAGGGAACGTGGGAAAGGATTCTACTGTCAGAAATGGAAACACCTTGCTCCCATAGCCTAAGAATTTACTGAAATCATTAAGAAGAAAACAATCCCACAAAGCGATAATGATCACTTCTTCTTGAGAGCAACAATTCAATAGTAAATAAACAATCACTTATTTATTCACTAGTAATATACTAATTACTGCCAAATATGTCAAAAAAGGAGGGGTTAAATATGGGAGTATATGCATTTATACATTTATATGCATAGACTATTTCTGGAAGGATACTATCTATAAAAAAAAAAGATAAAAGGAGTCGCCTCAGTAGGAACAACTTGGAAGTGAAGAGTAGGATGGTAAGGACACGTTGTAAATACTGCGGTGCCATTTGAATTTCCCACACATACGTGCATTATCTAATATAGAAAAACCTGTTTTTACAAATCTGAGTTACATATTTTAAGGGATTTAAATTGAGAGATTAAGAATCGTTTAATAAATAAATTCCAATATCACTATCAGGCTTCTAACACCAGGGCATCACAATCTATATTATTATTCTCCAACCCTCACAGTAAGTTCCTAAATTATCTCTCTTCTTACCCTGCTGCTCAGAAAGAAGCCTTGCAGCCTAAAAGAAAAGGTAATTACACAAGGAATACAGGTGAAGCATGACTGTAGGACATGGAGGTGTACAGTAACAAGAGAATATTCCTGGTGGTATATGACAATTAGTTTTGGATAGAGGCCAAGGTAGTTAGATTATTTATACTACCAGTGTTCTGACTACCCCAAGATCAAAATAATTCTGCCACTAGATTCCATTTTAGTTAATACAAAAAAATAAATAAATAAAAAAGAACTGTTGAAGTTTATTACATACTCCAAATAGAAATTTCAGGCTTTGTTATAATTCTAGGCTGCTATGGTTTGGATGTTTGTCCCCTCATGTTGAAATTTAATGGCCAATGTAACGGTATTGGGAAGTGGGGCCTTTAGAGGTGATTAGGCCAATGAAGGCTCTACTCTCATGCGTGGATTTAATGCCCAAAGGGCTCTCAGGAGTGAGCTTTCTCTCTTTTTGCTCTTCCATTCTTCTGCTATGTGAGGAACAGTGTTCTTCTTTTCTAGAGGATGCAGTGTTCAAGACACCATTTTGGAAGTGGAGATTCAGCCCTTACTAAAGGTCAAGACTGCCAGCACCTTGATCTTGGATCTCCCAGCCTCCAGAAATGTGAGAAATAAATTTCTGTTCTTTGTAAATTACACAGTCTCAGGGATTCTGTTACAGCAGCATAAAACTGACTAAAACATAGGCCTACACACAAAAATATAAACTGGTGAGCCTAAGAAGCACATTGAGGCAGATAGGAGTTTTTGGAAAACAAAAAGCAAGTAAAGATGAAAAAAATAATTTACACTAAAAAAGCTCATTAGCAATTAAATTTAGTTCAATTAATTAGACATATATTGTCGAAGGTACTGTAGGGAAAACAAGGCAAGTGCTTGAAATGCATTCAATATATATATAGCTAGGCAAGAAAAAAATTTTTAATACAAATTTTTAATAAGGTCATTAGTGAAATACAAAGCAGCATAAAATTTTACAGTAGGTAAGAGAAGAAAGTACAATCAAGAAAGATCTTGAGTCTTCTTATCTCAAACTATTGATTCCACTGAATGAATATGAATTTGAAAGAGAAGCATGTCAGATGGGCATTCTAGACTGGGGACACAGAAAAAAGAGACACTGAAGCAGAAAATGACACCCTATATGTGGAAACAACATACATCACATTTTCACATTTAAACATTAAGAGAAATGTTAAAATTTTCTTCTATGGCAGAAAATGACCTGCTCTGTTGGGGCATTCTAATAGCCTTACATCATCTGCTTTTCATTCTAATAGCCAAAACCAAAACTCTCACTGCTATTTGCTTATGGATAGTAATTATGTATATCTCTACAAAACTTGACTGCAACCTCCTCAATGCCTGGGATGATGGCTCTAATGCAGTGTTTGACACAAGTAGATGCTGAGTATTTTTCTCTGACAATCTGTGCCTTAAAACACTAATCCTAAAATACACACTATGAAAAAAATTTCATAGAAGTTTGGTAAATTATGCAAACTCTATTATTCAACCTCCTTTTACAGAACACTGATGAGCATATTAATATATTAAAATCTCCGAAAAAATGCTGAAACATCAAAACCAACCTACTGTTTTTAAATCTGGCATTACCCAAACATACTTGTTAATAGGATCTTTTTTCTCTTCCTCAGACTATTAAGACCCTTAGGAATTACTATTCTGCCATATACTTTAGGAAATGCTCTATTAGAATCCAAAAGATAAAAGTATAAACTGAACAGAGAAATGAACTACAACATGCCTGAATATTTGAACATATTACTGAATTTATCTCTAATTTCACTGGACTTTCTATAAACTACAGGGTCTTCCAAACAACCTGCTTAAAATCCTACTGATGGCAGCAAGAGAAGATAAGCTGGAAACCTAGGAGGCATTCAGTCTCTCTCAACTCATAAAAATACGTCTACACGATATTTGAAGTACGCAAACCATTATTTAAACAGCTAATACAAAAATAAAATATTGCCACAATTAGATTTTCAAACATATGTGCATACTTGTGCACAAACACTCACAAATGAACAGTACTATGCCGAACTCTTTCTCTGCATCAAACAAAGGCCTTTTTCCTCTCTGGGTTACTCTGTTAAATCAGGTAAGAGTTTACAGGACCAAAGCCAAAATGTAATTTCCCAAAAAGCATGGATTACTGAAATGAGTAACTAACAACAGCCCAAGAACAAATGTTACTATCAAACAACAAAATATTAATAAGATATGGCAGGACTAAGTTTACAAAGAGTATCATAAAATTTGCCCAACTGCTATATTTCCAGTATGAAAAAGTATCAATCTGACTTGAAAAATATTTTGGATAATGGTATAAAATTCATGCTGCTGTTCAACATTAATGATGTAGATCAAGTAACAGACATACTAAGGTAATCTCAGTCCTACTCTACCTCACATATCTTGCCTTCGATCCAACAAAAGATCATATTTGACCTGTGACTCCACTTATATAGATTTTTAGCTAATTTTCTTTTCATTAATTCAAAATCTAGCAAATTCTGGACAAGTTTTAGAGAAAAAACAGAGAGGTTAAAAAAAGTCTTCCTAGACCCAATGTCACTCACTGACTATTTAGTGTCAAGATCCATTCAAGCAATGAGAGAACATAAGTAGAATATTTAAAATCTGAGAAAGACAGAAAATAAAATTTTATAAGAAATTAAGAGATACATGGGCCGGCCTGGTGGCGCACTGCTACAGTGCGCCGCTTGGGAAGTGCGGCGGCGCTCCCGCCGAGGGTTCGGATCCCACATACAGACCGGCCGCTCACTGGCTGAGCGAGGAGCGGGGGCAACACCGAGGGTTGCGATCCCATTGCCGGTCCCGGTACGGGCGCGACACTGAGGGTTGCGATCCGTTGCCAGTCACGAAAAAAAAAAGAAATTAAGAGATACAAAAATGATGGGGAGGGGAGGATGAATATACTATTAATATTCACATATGCATAAATAAAGCCTTGCATATATATATAAATGAAGCCTATATATACATACACATAAAGCCTTGCTAATGGTAGATAAAGTATTAAGCAAACAAGAAATTAGTCTTTTCAAAGGTTTTTGTTTTTAAGTACTTCAGGAAAAATTATCAATACTCCAAAATAGCAAGTTTGAAGCATACATATTTGTTTGAAGCATACATATAAAAATAATTATTCTAATTTATTAAAGAAAATAACCAAAATGACCCTATTAAATATATTACCATATTGTTCATGCTTTTAAACAGTGCTGGAAAAGCACCAAAGGGGGACAGCTTGATGTTTTTGATACATTTACTCAAGAATATACATACATGTTTATTATTACAGCTACAATAACAAGGAAATCTTGACCAACTTAAGAAAAATTGATATCTAAATGACAGATCAGCACTTTAAAAAAGAAAGGCTCTATTTACGTAAGTTCTGACAGGGTTTGCACTTTTTATGACCAGTGTACATTAGTTAATTTGAAATGGATCTTTTCACAGCATATGAAGATGAAGGTAAGTATATTATTTTTGTAAGTATATTATTTCAATGCTTGATCCTTTTTATCAAAGGACCTTCCATAAAAGTCATTCAAAGTATATCAAAAAGCTAAAATTCTCCTTCAAATATAAATAATTTGTCATGGCACAGATATTTTTATATTCTCTGCCTATCATGCCAAAATAACTCCTCTAGTATCAAATCCTAAATCTAAAGCTTAATTTTGCCCATAAAATTTCTATATTTATCTCTTAGAGATGTTATAGGTTATACAGAAATTTTTCAGTGCATTTTCAAATATTTTAATACATTTCATAAACAGTTTTCTAAGGACCCAAAAATGTTCCCATCTTTTGGGTACTCAAAACTCAGCAAAGGTCTCAGATAGCCCAAACAATGCATAATTGTATTTTGGGGGGATATTTATAAGGTAATTTGCATAAAATATAGGACACAATGTAAACGTAGCCCACAATCCAAGGTCAAATTAGATTTTTGTTTTGAATGCATTGATTTAAGACTACTGGCTTAGCATGATTTCCTCACATACTTTTAACAGCAAAGCCCATTAAAAGTAGTATATAAATAATGCACTTTTCTTATACTCCATGTTTGTACTATTCTTATACTCCTAAACTAGTGGAGACATTCAGACAGTGTGATTACTGAATTCAGAGTCATTCATATACAGACTATTACTCTGTGTGGTAAACTTTAATAATCCATAAGGATATTTCCCCCAAATATATTTTGAAGTACTAGAACAAACCAAGTACTTTCCACTCATTACTTAAAATCCAGACAAAACATTCAGATTTGAAACATAAAGGAGAAACTATACCTTACCTCATACTCGGAAATTTCGGGCAAGTTACTTTCATCTGACTTCTCTAGCTTTTCAGCAGCCCACTTGCTTGCAGCTTCAGCAAGCTCCTTTTCAGTGAGCCTACTGGGTTTGTCTAACACCTAATAAAAACAAAAGAACATTTCTGTTACAATTCTCAAGGGCTTTTAAAATTCAAATGTATCAAGTACATCCCATTTACATTTAAAATCATATAAGCCTTCAAATTTATATAGAGAACAGGTATATTCTTTATTTGCTCCTTCAAAAATATTACACATAGGATTCCTTTAAGTAGCAATTCCTTTCAGACATATAGACTAGATCTAACTCAATTTCATTTACATAAAACTTCAGAAATTGATCTAAGGAATAAAGCAAAAGATACTGACAATTAACTCATATACTGATTGTATTTAGAATATAAAAGACTGAACACTGATTACAACTTTGCAACTTTAATTATATTCAATGAAAATAAATGATGCCAAAATTACATTAAGGTAAATTTCTAATTAACACAAAAGTTCAGATATGCTACTTTATAAGCTGTAATAAATTATATAAATCCTACTTCTTACACAAAATTTTTAACAAATTTTATTTTTAATCCTACTACTACAACCGTTCTCTAACTATATACAATACTAAACAAGGTATGGAGCTTTGAAGCCTAAATACCTCACTCCAAAGCCCTGCCCCTATATAAGGTTAAAAAGGCATTTTGAGTAATACTTTTATTATTACTAAGTAATATAAGGTTAAAAAAAAAAGTAAGTTAGAAGAAGAAAACACACAAACACAAATGTATCTGAGAAAAAAAATGTATAGTCCATGCTGTTTTGTTTTTATGGGAGGAGGTATATGTTTAACTGAAAGTTACAGAGCAAAAACAAAACATATTTATATGAGCTATTTCTAGTGAAGAATGAAGCAAAGGTCTACTATAACTTCTATTCATCTGTCATTAAATCTGCAGACTTGAAAAACTATCATTTGAAACTAACTATGCTCTTTTTTTTTTTTTTTTTGGATGGCCAGTACAGGGATCAAACCCTGGACCTAGGTGTTATTCATCAGCACCACGCTCTGACCAACTGAGCTAACTAGCCAGCCCCAGAAACTAACTTCTAACAGCAGGAAATAAGCTCTGAAAAAGTACTCCTACATGAGGGCAGCCATAATGTTTATAAGAAAAAGTCCTTCACTAAATCAGGAAATATGGGTAATAAAGTTCCCCACAGCTATCATGTGACCATGGGCAAAGGACACTCTTAACTAATACATAAAATAATTATAGATCACAATTCTGATATTCTGATTCCATTTTACAACTTATGGTGTATATACAAAACTGCAAATATCTATGTGAAACTATCAGACAAAAACAGCTAAAATCCATTATTGTGGTTTCCCTTTAAATATATTTTAACATGTAGCACAAAGTCCTATACTGTTACTTATATTCAGATAGGTTATATTTCAAGGGAAATTAATATTTCATATATAATAATATAAATTTTATGGTAATTTAAATAGGCAGGTACTATTTGCTCTTTTTCAGTTATTACCTGACCAAAAAAAAAAACAATCCAGTCTTTCAGGGGAGTAAAGCATGCTTGATATGGTTAAGACAGAACCAAAGAAATCCAACCAATCTTCGTTTTTCAAAACCCAGAATTCTAGAACCCTCAGACTTCTGGAAAATATCCAAAGATACAAGTTGTCACAAAGAAACTTTTTTTTCCCTCTATGGCAGAGAAGCAGCTGCCCCCTGAACACCCAGCACAGATTGCCAGATGATATCTACTCTTGCTGAAAAGCCAAAAATATAAAAGAAGAATGAAAAGTAGACAAGTAACAACAGTTATGGCCAAGAGAAGGGGTGTGAGAACTGTGAAGAGTATCTCTAACTGAAGAGAACAGATGAAAAGAGCAATATCTGAGATACTGGGAAGGTAAGAATGAGAAAAGAGTAGCTGAGAAAATCGTTTAGCTTCTGAGCCTTCACTCTACTATAGAATGGGAGATATATTCCCATTTATATCACAGAATTTCTGTATGAAGTAATAAGAGAAGAAAATACTTAATATAGCATCCAGAATCAAGTAGTTATATAATAAATATTAGGTCTCTGCCTATGCCCCAACTCCCAAAATAAAAGTACAATCTACCAAATATGCCCATGTGAATATTCATTCCCACCTTGTTATGGTCAAGATGAGCAAGGGCTATAGCAGTAAGTACTAATTTTAGTATCATCTGTGGAAAAAATTCTATGGGAAAACTGCTCATTTATTCTGGTAGCTACTTCCAAGTTGTGGTTACTAAAATTCAAGTTTTCAAATGAAGCAAGTTAGCCCCATAGATATGACAACAAAGAATAAAAGCATCTGTGCGAGGCAGTCCATCTCTGCTTTGTAATTCTTCTTTGATTTTAGAAATACAACAAACCTTTGATGAAGGAACTGCTGAAGAACTTGAGGGCGAAGTGTCTCTTGATGTTTTCAAAGACTGGACAGGTCTCTCTTTACCTATATAAGAAAACATAAGATACAATTTTCTAGATCATTTATTTTCAATTAAGTGGTTTTTGAAACTGAATTAATAAGGGGGTGTCATATACTTATTTTAGTACTGCAACTTTTCATTGCATTATTAAATTATATGTTAATATCTAAAACTACTTATCTCTCTTAAAGGCTGGGCACCATCAAAAATGTGAAATAATCCAGAACCAAAGAATATCATATATGGCAATCTATACCACACCAATGCTCATTAGCAAACATGGAGCAACAAAGACCACCTTGAGAAAGGCAAAACACACTTTTAAATCATGAATGCTTTCTCTTCCATGTTCCTAAGTGCCAACTTTTAATATACCACAATAAAAATACACGGATAGTTATCATATAGATACCACAAAAAAAAAAAAAAACTAGCTAATTAAGGGATAACTTAAGGAGAGAGATATATAGGAAATTTAGCAGACATTCCTGAAATGTTTAGACCATTTAAAAAATAAAATTAGAAAACTATAACTCAGAGCACTAATCCAGTGCCTGACATGAATGAATACCCAAATATTTGTTAAATGTTTAAAAATAAATCTGTATGAGATAAGGTCGGTAACCTTTCTCTTTAGTCATTTCTGACACTCCTATTGCTGTATGTATACCATTTTTTACAGAAACTTAAGCAAGAAAATACACTTAAACAATATTACTTTAGCAAGTGCAACAACAACCAAAAAATATTTAGTTAAACATAACCTTAAATATTAGTAACAGTAAGCTGTTACTGATAGAACACACTTCATTAAATTGTCTGTATGTATCAAATATAACATACAATCCTCTGCTTTTAATTGCTAGAAAAACTACAACAATTAATAACACGGAGAAGAGGTGAAAGTGGCACCAGGTTTGGAGTCACACGGAAGCTGGTCAAGACTAGACAGTGGGTTACGGCCAGAAAAGCAGTCAAGAGCAAAAGCAGAGACAAACCGATCGTGAAACTGAGGCAAAGCCAGCTTCAGTCAAAAAGCCTCTTAAGCTCTTCCTGCCCCACAGCCAGCCAAGACAGCTAAGGGCTTGGAGCCTCAAGGGCTTCCAACCACCTGGGGCAGTAGTGAGTAACACCTCTTCCCAATATACTGCAGACTCAAAAGGCTTTCTCTAGACCAGTGGTTCTCAACAATTTCACACCTCTTCCCTCCAGAGAAATCCAGCAGTATATGAAGATATTTTTGATAGACACAAGTGGGAGAATGCCACTGGTATATAGTAAAGTAGAGACCAGGGATGCTGCTAAACATCCTGTTACAGGGGATAGCCCCCCATAACAAAGAATTACCCAGCCTCAAATGTCAATAGTGCTGAGGTTGAGAACACCTGCCCTTGGGCTGATTATTCCAATTTTCAAGCTCCAGCAATTTTACAAAAGACATAACCCTAGAATCTTTTAATTTGTGGTACCATAAGAGGCACTAAGCAAGTTTAAAATTTTTTATAGACCTTAAAATATTAAAAACAAAGATACATCCCCAAATGACCAAGAACATAATTAGTCATTCCTTATTGTATATGGCAAATTCCATATTGTATAGTGATAGTGTCAGTCTATCCCACTACACCAAAGGCTCCTAGAGAAACAAATATCACAACTTACTCATTTCTGAATAGCTACAGCCTACTTAGCTAGCTAGAGTCCTTAAAGAGCAGGCACTCAAAAATTAAATAAAAAGATGAATATTATTTTTCTAACCTTAGGATGCAATGACCTCTCCATCCTATTCAGATAAGCAATATCTTCAAAGAAGATGAGGTGCTGGACCAATCAGTATAGCACACTACGCTAATTAAATAAATAATTGCAGTCTCAATTCTAGCACATATTAGCTAGACATAAGGAAAAAAAACCTATCACAAGCAGCTGTTAATGTCTTACTTAGCATTTCCTTTCCAAACAGTACATCAGTACTGCAGTTATACCAAGTATGGTCCCCAAATGTAGTCTTAGGACCTTTCCTGATTTTAGCTGCTCAAAGGCGAACTGAAGCAGGTATCAACCAATCTCAGAGTGCAGAAGCAAAGAAACACTACAAAGTAGGGCAGTAGGGTTATCATATAACCAAATACATTCATATACAGCTGTTGCATGAATGGGAGGGACAGGCAAGAAGCAAAGGACAAAGAAAAAGAAGATACAGATGGCAGCACAAAGAGCTCAGAAAAGGTATATAGAAATCCCTTGATTCTACTGTTGTCAAGTCCTATCTGCCAATGGCCTGACTATTCTACAGATCTCAGCCTCTTATGGGTTGACCAGGAATGGCTAGCCCAGACAACCAACCCACATATCTCCCCAAATCCTACTACCTGGGTCTACTGCTGTTCAACTCTGGTTCCAACAATACACTACTGGAACACTTAAGTCATATTGTCCCATTTCCATAACCTCTATCAATTCAAGCACCCCACCCCTTCACAGCCCCAAATCAAAAGCTAGCTCAAAACTCACCTCTTTCTGGCTTTCCTTCATTCTGCCGTTTGTAGGAGGCACCAACACGCACAGGCTCTAGGGAGATGTGGGCAGGGAGGAATTAACACAGCACCTCTGTGCCCAAGAGAAGAACCCAAAAGTAGGAGCAACAAGAACAGGAACTTCTGAGCATTTGCTAGTGACCGAACTCTTTCCTTCCCTGCCTTAAGTTGGGCTGCCTAAGCAACCACCACTGAAGAGAAATAAACAAAAGAACAGGAGAAAATCTCTGTTTAAGGCCAGAAGCTAACTGGGAAGTGTTAAAATGAGGCCAGTCAAGGACAGCATGGGAAGAAGGAAATGAGAAAAAGATCACACTAAGGTAAGACACTGGAAGCTGAAGAGAAGACTCATTTGCCTATATTTGCTAATGAGAGTCTGCAGGCATCTCTTCCAAACTTTGTATTCAGTTACTCCACATTGGTAGCTAGAAATCAACCATGACGGGAATATTCACTCTGCAGATATCAGCAAATACTACAAATCAGGTATTTTTAACCCTACAGTCAATTTACCAACACACCCACTGGGAGTATGTTTACTGATTTCAAGTTCAAGTTTCAGAGACACTGTAGGAATTACCACATTTAATTACAGATTCCCATCCATGTTGCCAGAGTTTCCCCTGACCTGCTCATTAAAACTAAAGGTTTCATTCTTCTCGTCCTTTACTATAGCATGCCAATGATTTATAAACAAGTTTTTCTGTATATTTTACCATTTGGTTTTTATGCTTTTGTTATCCTGTTCCCCTACATCTTCCTAACTACACCTTTCTGTTTTTTTGTTGCTTGTTGTTCCCTAAGTGTGAGTGTTCCTCCTAATCTCAATCCTTTTTGCTCTGCTATTCTTACTTGGCTCCAACCAACACTATGAATATAAATGTCTCTCACACCTGCCTCTTTCATTCACTATTCTACATTCTAACTGATAGTACGCTACTCTTTAGCTATTTAGCCATCACCTTAAATTCATTTCACACATGATCTTATAAGCAGACACTAACTCTCTGCTTGAGAGCAGAAAACGGCTCAAAACATTCCTGCCTTTGTTATGACTTGCTAAAGAAAATGAGTTCTAAAATAGGATGGAGGAAGGAAACCAGGAATGAAAAATCCTGAAAGTAAAAGTACAGAATTCAAAATCCATGTGTAGGGCTGGCTGGTTACAGCATGCTGCTGTAACACCAAGGTCACAGGTTCAGATCCCCATACTGGCCAGCTGCCAAAAAACAAACAAAAATCCATGTCTACATATTGGTAAGTGAAAGAATAAATGGGGAAGAAGAAAATGAAAAAGAATTTCAATTTCCATACACCAGGTATAAAGTTTTTCCCATTGAGGTGAAATCAAAAGCTGAAGCAGTAGCTTCATGTTCCAAAAAACATTAAGGAAGTTCTGCAAGAGTTTCACAATATTTCATATCTTTACTATAAAGGCTGAATGCAAATCTCATCATATGCTCTTTCAAAAACATACTTTCTTCCTGATTATTTTTTCTTGCTGAAAGCAATGATAAGCTTAACCAGATTCATCCAACCCTATCAAGTGCTATTCATTACCAACAACCCATGTAGGAACAAAGGACACTATAGCAAAAAAAAAAATACAAGTCATCATTAGAGATGATAAAGTTAGGGGCTACATCTTACAGACTATTGAATTCTCAGTACAGTGCTTAGCTAATAAGGACAAAACAGATACTTTTGAATGAAAGTCCGATCAAGAAACCAACTTCACAGCAGAGGTAGTAAATTCATTTCTTCTTTAACAGCTGAGAAATTATAAACAGAGACAGAAATGATCTGTTTTCTGGATCATGGGTGAAGATAAAGAGAATTTAGAGCTCTTGGTTAGGAAAAACTTGATTTCCCAGAGATCTACTGGTTTACTCAAGAAAGTATAAAAGAAAAAAATGGAGAGAAACAAGAAATATGTTCTTTTGTTAAAAACACCAAAAAATGATAAAAGAAAGAAACAGAGGCATAGAGAAAGCTTTGCACCACCTCTGCTTCCCCCAACATCCATCTTTACAAGGTCAGAGATGCAACAAGTGTTAAGTAAAGACCTATTGACTACGAATACGTGCAAGTGCATTTCTGAGTAAAGCCCTCCCTTAATACAACAGCTAAAATCACATGGGATCATTTTAAACATACAAATAAAACATTACATCTGTACACATGATGAATGTTAGCCACTAACAGACCACACTAAGTCCTAAAACAAGAATGCTACAAAATGCCTACACATATGGCATTAATTGATTACTGCTTTAGAACCTCGATCGTTAAGATGCCAGAAAAGCTACAGCTGTACTCCTGGGATTCACCTAGGAAAATCGTAACCAAAGCTCTCTGGTAAGAAAACAATGAATTCTCAAACAAGAAGAATATATTACAGAATCTAATTCAACAGCACATTAATAGCCTGGATCAGTAAATAGCCCAAGACCTTTCAGGAAAATATTAAATTATACTTCAGGGACTCCACATGTACAGCTCATTTCAATAATCCTTCTCCAATGGCAATCCCATAACAAATTGTACTCAGTCTTTAGATATCACCTAAAATGTTTATTCCTATTTGTTTGTTTGTGTCCTTCACTAGATCATAAACTCTGAGGGCAGAGACTGGATCTGTCTTGCTTGGTAAACCATATATGTTCCATATATATATGTATATATATATATATATATATATATATATACATATATATATGGAACATATATGGTTTACCAAGCAAGACAGATCCAGTCTCTGCCCTCAGAGTTTATGATCTAGTGAAGGACACAAACAAACAAATAGGAATAAACATTTTAGGTGATATCTAAAGACTGAGTACAATTTGTTATGGGATTGCCATTGGAGAAGGATTATTGAAATGAGCTGTACATGTGGAGTCCCTGAAGTATAATTTAATATTTTCCTGAAAGGTTCTGCGCTTCCCAAGCGGCGCACTATCCAGTGCGCCACCGGGCCGGCCCTATGTTCCATATATTTTTGTAAAACAAAAGATTACATGAGTATTAAACAAAAATACAGAAGCTTTCAAACCAAGAAACACTATGATATTTAGCTGCTAAGAGAATTTTATCCTCCCTTCTTACTGCCACATGATCTGATGGTAAAGCCTTATTTCCATATTCCCATTACTATTTCATACCTGCACAGAACAAGCCTTCTTCCTAAAGGCAGAATTAAACTTCAAAATTTTATTAGAATTCCAGCTATAACCCAAAAACTCATGTGGATTTAAAAATTCATTCACAGCCAACAGGTCTTAAGACATGTGTCTTTTCTCATTACACTGAAGTTGAAATTGACTCTATCTTCCAAATATGTGTCTCAAAACAGTATTTTTAATTCTTGTACACTTTCAAGTTATCTTAGAAGATATATTTTTTAAAAGAATAAAATGCTGATGAGTAATAGTCTTCCCATTTTAAAATATCTTCTATTCTGGGCCGGCCCGGTGGTGCACTGGAGAGTGCACCGCTTGGGAGCACGGCGGCGCTCCAGCCGAGGGTTCGGATCCCATGTGGAGACCGGTTCCCGCTCACTGGTTGAGCGCGGTGCGGGCGCAACACCGAGGGTTGCGATCCCGTTGCCGGTCCCCGGTGCAGGTGCGACACTGAGGGTTGCGATCCCGTTGCCGGTCAGTAAAAAAAAACAAAAAGGTAAAATATCTTCTATTCTTAATAATGTCTGCTGATAGCAAGAAAACGAGGGGAGGCTAGGCCCAAAGTCAGAGCTATAGAAAGACAGAAACAGGCCAACAAAAACAATAAACTGGTAAATCTTCCAGAGTGATGATATTTTTAAATTTTAACCAAAATGTCACACAGCCTAATTAATATATGAGCATTATTGGTGTAAGTTTGACGTTAACCCCTGGAAAATGTTTAGAATGACTTAACAAAGAGGTAGTTTGTACATACTTACATAATCATCCCTAGGAGCCACAATTAATTTACAAAAACAAAGCAAGGCAATTTTTATGTCACTGTTTTGACAGAGGAAATGCTTTGTAACTTAAGAGTTTCAGGAAAGCACATGACAAGGTCCTCCATGAGATCCTCAAGTGAAAATGAGGACAAGATAATAGTAAAGTTGGGGGACCACAATTATTTGAATAACAATAAAAAATGCTCATAAAAATGTGAGGTTAACAGAAAGATCTCTAGAGTTTTCTGTAATTGACTTTATGCTACTCAACATAATTATTAATGATGAATACAAAACACTTCAAGTGCTAATATACGAGATCACTAAATGAGATTTTAACATCTATATAGATCAGAATAATAAGCCAAAATTAATTAGATAAAATTTGCCTCTGATCTCAATAAGAGTAACGAAATGCGGTTGCCAAAATAAAAGTTCATTTCTGGAATCACAACTTAGAAGGAACGTAAAGAAAATTAGGAAAGCAAAAGGTCTGGAAACCATGTCAAATAAAAGGAAGCAAAAGGAATCAAATATATTTAAGCCCAGAAAAAAATCATGAAGGATATGATTTGTACTCCTCTAATACATCAAAGGTTACAACATAAAAGGAAGAAATAATCTTTATACACACACACACGTATATGGCTCTAAGATAAATAACTAGTATTACAAAGATGTTACAGGAAAAGATTTTAACCTGTAAAGAATTAGCCATACAAAGGTGAAAGGCCTGGATTATTATATAGTAAACTTATCATAAGAAGTACTTTAACCAAGAATGGATGTGGGAGACTGAACTTACTGATCTCACTTTTAATGCTATCATCCTAAAAAAAAGGGTAAATAACAAAAGTGTAAGATAGGAAAACAATGGAATTCATTTCAAAGCGGGGAGAAAAAAGGAAATAAATAGTGGAGAGGGAGTTGACAAACATGGAGATATTGAGTTAGAGTAATTATAATAAAAATAAACTTCAAGTAAAATGTACAGGTATATACCTAAATACCGAAACAATCTTATATAAACAAAAGTATATGAGAGTACTTCAGAAAGTTCATGGAAAAATAGAACAAAAAGATAATATAAATCCTTCCAATAACTTTTTGAAGACCCCTTGCATACAACAAAACAATAGTAATTTTAAAAGTATCATAATAAATGAGAAAGAAAATGAGATTAACCAGGACAACCTGCACTGTTAGCATGTGAATATGAACATCAAAAAGGAACTAAAAATAATATTGCATTTACAGCAATGTCAAGATCAGCCTAGCCAAGTTATAGTCAGAAAATTCTTATAAGTGAAATACATGATGGAAACCAGTTTGATTTAGAAGGATAATCAGTCTGAAGCAGTACAAAGTTCCATAGGATTAACCCAAAAGGCTAAGTAGAAGAAATTTAATTAAAAGGGGAGGCCGGTGGGGGCAGACATGCAGAAAATGGGAAATAAGAAGTTCAGTTAAAAAAGCAGTAAAATTACTCTGTGGCTTATAATTAAGAATATAAGAAAGTTGTGCAAAAGAAATTTTTTTAACTAAAAAAATTTAAAAAGGAAAAATGATCATGAGAGAGATTAAATACATTTAAGAATTATGAAGAATTAATCAAAGAGTTACCATGGCCAAACCACTCGTGATCATTAAAAGAGGTAAAATTACTCTGAAAAGTATAAATAAAAAGCAAAAAGTTAAAAGCTAAAGAATTAGAAAAATGAGGGCATTATGAATAAGAAAATTGTTACTTTAACAGAACAATTATAAAGTAACTGTTATTTATATTTATAAAAACACTTAAAACCTTTGTCAAAATATCAGTTTACCTTAGAAAACTAAATTTTAACACACTGCTTATTCACCCAGCTTAAGTGGTTTCTCAGTCCTCTTCTGAAGAAAAGGTGCCATCAATATTTGTGACATTTAGATTTAAAACAAAAACTGGTATCACAAATATGCAAAATAATTACTTTTTCCATTTACTGTTTTTTGTTTTATTTCTAAATTTATTTATTTATTAATATTATTTTTTACATTCTGAGATGTTGCAGAGCAGTTGGGTGGGAGTGGGGGAAGGAAATAGGATGGGAGAAGGAGGAGGGAGGCGGGGCATGGTTGAGGCCTGTGGCATCCCCCTCATTCCTGCAGGACAGACTGGGGGTCTTCCAGCAGTGGCTTGGTCCTTGCTGGGCTGGGTGCAGATGTCAGGGGGTGTAGCTGAAGCCCTCGGCCCCCCACTCCATGTACTGAATAAAATAAGACTTCTCCATTAACTTTTTTCCCCTCGTTTTTTTGGGTGGCTGACCAGAATGGGGATCCGAACCCTTGACCCTGGTGTTATCAAAACCACGCTCTAACCAAATAAGCCAAACAGCCAGCCTTCCATTAACTTTTTAGAGGATGATCTTTAACTTTTTACAAGACGATTTTATATAACTACTCTCAAAACATGAAAGGAATACAGAAAACGTCTTCATGGTACAGTCCAAGTAGTTAAGGACTCAACCAAAGTAACCTGAAAAGAGAGTTTTCCCAGAACAAACTTTTTTTCTTGATTAAAAAACTTTACCTTCAAAGCTAAACAACTGAAGAAAATAAACATTCAGGCATTAACAAAGTCATATGCTCCATTCCATTTAATTTACCCATATTTTAGTCTCCAAACTTTCTTTGTCATCTTTTCCTCACCCCAGATATTAAAGTTTTCAGACCTCAAAGGATGAGGAATGTATATTGAAGAACCTAAGATAGGAGCATTACATGGTGGCTCACCCACATTTCACCTCAATATTTGAGAGTTTTGGCCACTGACTAAAAGACTGAAAGCAGATGGAGAAATAGAAAAATAAGGCTAATTCATCAATAACAACTTTTAATAGCTTCACTATTTATTCACTATTCACTATGTTGTCATGTAAGAATCTCAAGCTTCCATTATACTCATGTTTTGTTAAAAAGGCTTCATAATCAGTTTTCAAAGATACTTTCTTCCTCTTAATTAAATCATTATTGGATTTGGATTTAAGTCATACACATCCAAAAAAATTCTTAGAAGGTGTCTGGCTAATTTTGAATATGTCCATGCACATTTATTAGAGCTTAGAGGTTATTTATCTTCTTGAAGGCTTTCTTTTTGGTGATGAGGATGGGGAGGGGGGCAGATAAAAGCAAAATAGGAAACACCTGTTAACACTAAACTCCACAGTAAAATTTCCAGTTACCTGGAACTGTCATGAGCACATTTTAAGGAATAAGGCATGTCAGTGGCTATGTTTGTTTTAAATCCTTCAAATGACATCCTTATCTCCACATGATCATTCATACACCTGTATCCAAAAATGTGTTTTTTGGAAGCCCCACTCTACCTAGTCCTGAAAATAATAGACAACTGACAAATGTTTGCTAAACACAAGAATCTAGCAACAACAACAAGGGAAAACAATCTCATGAATCCAAGTGGTCTTTCATCGCTCTCATGCAGGAGTCAGAGGCTGTTAAATTAAAACACATATTAATTGAAAAAGACAGTTAATGAGAAGGAAGTTAAAAGGAAGAGGAAATATCATGAACTTCTCTGATTTCTGTATCCTCACTTATAATTCCTTCTACTTAGAAGGCAATTCTTCACTTATAGAAATCTGAAATAAGAATGAGCCCAAATGTCATTTCCTCCATGACATGTTCTTTCATCCCAGAGTAAGGACTAATCTCTCTCACCTTGACATGCTCGTGTCACATTAACTCATTTCTAACATATCAATTTTTGTATCAAAGTTATGTTTTATATATATTAACATATTGATAAAGTTATTAGCTGATGGAAAATACATATCCATATATATATATATATTCAAGTTCCTTAGTGACAGGGACATCTTTGTATCTAACACAATACCTTGCACATAGAAGGCATAAGGAAGTGTTTTGTAAATGAGCTCCACTGCAGCTTGTAGAGTCTGAGTCTAGAAAGATAGTATAAGAATGCTTTATCTAGAAAAGTGGTTGCTTCAATTATTTATTCCAACACATACTAAGCAACTTAGCCAGAATGACATGCTATGATTCACAGAATGCCATGTATGTCCAGGCACTCAAAATTACAAAAAAAAAAAAAAAACCCAACAAAAAAAGCAAGTTGGAAAAGAATGAACCTAAGGTGGATTTCAGCTCTAAATTCTACAAGGCTATATACCGTATATTTAGAGGAGACCACTGATATTTTTAATGAAAAATAGACTGTCAGATATATACGGATATCACTTAATGATAGAAGATCAAACAGGTTGGACTCGCACAGGAGCTACCAGAAAATATGGGAGTGTATGACTTTCAGACACGATTACAAAGACCTCTTTTACATGCTGAAGAATTTAAAGGTGAAATATCACACAGACTATAATTTCGAATACCTTGAAAAACTGTGTTTATGCTGTTCATTAAACTATTCTTTCAACTTTTCTGTAAGCTTAATTTTTCCAAAATAAAAACTTTTTAAAAAGTATCTCTTAGAACACTTTAAGGCAATCTGACTCACTACATTCTCATCAGTAGAGATTAGGAAAGAAAAAGGAAAAGTCTTAAAAATACATACTTCTATGTTGAGATTGATGGAAAGAGTATGTTTTGCTTCTTTCTGGAGAGTAGCTTCTACTACTGACACTGGAGCCAGATCTGCTGTGTGGTGAATCTTTTCGGCCTACAGGTGAGTCTCGGAAAAAAGGAGTATCTCTTTTGTGAGGAGACCGGTCTCTCACATAATGGGAAGAGTAGAAACCTTTTCTTCTAAAGCCATCTCTCATATCCCTTTGGAGAAAAAACAAAATAATTATACAAGGTACCCTATATATACAAACACAAATGGCAAAAGCTCTGATTACAAGATACCCTTTACGTTGTAATCTTGGTTCTCTTTTTCAACCACCACCTAACTGCTGAAGTCAGTTAAAATGAAACAGTATCAGTGAAATATGATTTAGAATGCACCACTTTTTCAGTTTGAAGTAGAACTAGGTAGTTAAGTGCAAAAGCCACTTTATTCCAAGCAAGCACAAATTCTAAAATGTGACAAACATAAAGCCATATAGTCTCTATTTCTCTTTGCCATTAGCAATATACCACACAGCTACAACACTCTCAAAAACACCCAGGAATGTCAAAGATTTCCCAAGTGAGACATTTCATGGCCTATTATCCCTTTCTAAGTATAGCATATACAACTGATTTTCAACCAGTGTGCAATTTTGCCCCCTGGGGGACAACTTGGCAATGTCTAGATGCTTTTTTGGTTGTCATAGTTGGGGAGGGGAGCAGAGATGCTGCTGAAATCTTACAATGCCCAGGACACCCCCCCCCCACAAAACACACACACACACACACACACACACACACACACACAACTATCCAGTCCAAAATGTTAATAATGCCAAGGCTGAGAAACCCTGGTATATATCTATTGAAATCTTGCTCTCTGAATTTGTATCCTTAGTATAGAGATTGTTGCCCATCTCTAAATACCCACTTTTTATAAATCTTTTATAATTCTATTTTGATAAATTAAACGTCTTTACTGAGCAGTATCATCAAGTCAAAGCAGCAAGTAAAACTTTATAAAGCAAAACCATCTTTAAAATGTCAAAGCAAATCAAAATTATTGAATGAATTAATATTTTGAGGGAAGGGGCTTATCTGACCATATCTGGAGTGATAAGAGTTTGGATGTGATGTCCCCACCAAAATTCATATGGAAATCTGATCCCTAACATGGCAGTGCTGGAAGCTGTTTGAGTCATGGGAGCGGATCCTTCATGAATAGATTAATGCTCTCTTTGGGGGTTGGGGGTCCTGAGTGAGTTCCCACTCTATTAGCTCCCGCAAGAGCTGGTTGCTTAAAAGACCCTGGCACCTCCTCTCTCTCTCTTGCTTCCTCTTGCCATGTGACCTGTTTGTACCCTCTGGCTGCCTGCCGCTTTCTGCCATGAGAAGAAGCAGCCTGAGGCCCATGCTAGATGCAGCTGTCCCAGAATTGTAAGCCAAATAAACCTCTGTTCTTCATAAATTACCCAGTTTCAGGTATTGTGTTATAGCAACACAAAACAGACAAATACATGGAGGTTGAGGGAAAAGAATGATTTACTGTAGGAGAAACTGATAATCCAAGACACGAAAATGTTAATTTGATAAAGAAGAAACCAAAAATCAAACTTCCAATACATGCACCCCTATTTAAAGAACACTTAGAGTCAAACAGGTTTTAATTAATGACTTAACAAATGTATTTCCATATTAAAATTAAAGAACATCAAATTTCAGACAGAAGAATGCTAAGAGACAAATCAATGGCATGGAATTTCAAATGCTCAGAAAAGAATTTTCGCATATTGACTGGCAGTCCCCAGTGTATGAGCATGTTGTTGTCCTAAAGCTCATGTGAACACAAGCTGATTAATACCCAAAATATATTCTCCCAGAGATATAACTAAGTTTCCGTAGGAAAAAGTAGGAAATAGCTAAAATTCATTTATGATAAATTAACTCGTACCGAACACTAATACTGAAATAAAGTAATAAAGAACTCTAATATATTCAAGTTTAATCACTGAAACTATAGAGGTCATACCAACATCACTGATTAGCGAGTGGCTATGTACGTATTAAACAAACAGGTTTTAGGAACTGTACCAGGTCCTGGGGACCCAGTGGTAAACCAAATGCATGCAGACTCTGCCCTCAGAGAACTCTCAGGCTCACAGGAGAGGCTGACAAAAACAAACATACATATAACATGTGAATGTAGCCAAGAATGAATGTAGACTAAGTAGAAGCCCCATCAGTCCAGGCAAAAGACAGTGGTAGCTCAGATGGGGCAGGAGCAGCGGACGGGTCACAAATTTTTTGTGCACAGGAACACATCTTTTAGACTCAATGGGATGTGGTAAATGTTTGACTAATGAGTGTGAAAGACAGGGGACCCCAAGCTGATTCCAAGAATTCTGGTATGACAGATTAATGAAGTGAGAAAAATAGATTTGCGAAATGGGGATGGGGGTGAGAGATACACATTTGGACAGGAGCATGTTAAGTTTGAGATGCTTATGCAACATCTAGGTTAGCAACTAGACATACAGATCTCAAGCTCAGAAATTTTTAGCTATCAGTATAAATCAGTCTGCATACAGGCAGTACTTAAAGCCATAAGTATGGATGAAAACAGGATAGAAAGAGCAGAAGCACCAGAACATAGGGCTAAAAAACCCCACAACATAAAGAGAAATGGGCTGTGAAAGAATGAGAGAACAGGCAGAGAAACATGAGAAAGAACAGAAGAGAAGCCAAAGAAAGAGTATTTTAAGAAGAAGCTTTCCTACATTGAAATTAAATGAGCTCGTACTGACAACTTACTTATGTGATGGAGAAAAGCAGACCCACATTCAGTGGAAAGATTGCCTACCTTTCTTCCATTGAAAAGAAAGATGAGCGGGGGAGGGAGAGGGGGATGGGGAGGGACTGGACAAGGGACATAAATAATAATTACGATTTGTAACAATATATATGCTAGTAATATTGATTTGATCAACATATCTCAATGTTGAACCCCCAAAATTTGTATAATCAATTTTGGTTCAATAAGAATTAAAAAATAAAAAATAAAAAATAAAAAAAAAAGAAAAGATGAAATGCTGAACTACAGTTTCCTAATCCTGACACCAGATGGCAGTACAAACAAAGCACTGGAACTATCAGAGTAGCCTGAGGTTGCTGGATAAGGACACGTCAGATTTTAATAGCTCAGAGTAATGTCTCTCCTCCCCTTCACATAGACCCCTTCCTACTGCCCACCAACTTAAGCAAAAACATCACAATAGTCATCAATTACTACAAGTATCCTCTTTGACACAGTGATAATATTACCCAAGTAATTTTTTCAGAGGGTGGTGGTGGGTGGAGTGTGTGTGTGTGTGTGTGTGTGTGTGTAGGGTGGGGTGTGTGTGGTGGGGTGTGTGTGTGTGTGTGTAGGGTGGGGTGTGTGTGGTGGGGTGTGTGGGTGTGTGTGGTGGGGTGTGTGTGTGTGTAGGGTGAGGTGTGTGGGGGGGGTGCCCACTATATGAAAAGCACTATGCAGAATTACCCTGCCTCTGAAAAAGCTTAGCAGTAAATGTTCAAGAAGGCTAGTACTGTAATTCAGAAGGGAAATGTGTATTAGTAGACAGAAAACCGATTGGGGTCTTAAAGGAAAGATGAGATTTAGATCGATATTGTCTAATAGAGATATCATTGAGCCACAGATGTAGTACCCACATTAAAAGTAAAGAGAAACAGGTAATATTAATTTTAACAATTTTTTTTTTACTTAACCCAATATATCTGAAGAATTACCAACAGCCAACATAAAAAAAATTCTGAGATATTCTGCATTCTCTTTTTCATACTCAATCTTGAAAATCCAGTGTGTATTTTATACTCTCAGTTAGAATTGGTCATATTTCAAATGCTTAAAAGGCACATACAGCTAGTGGCTCCCATATAGCACAGCACAGATTTAGATGGTGGGGAAAGCATTCCAAGCTTCAAGAAAAAGCAGAGAGGGATTAAAGGGTATTATGTGAACAAGAACAGAAGTAATAAGAACAGCGAGACCTTAAAAAAGCAATGACTAAAAAGGAAAGGCCGAAAAATTTTTAAAGGGAAAGGATAATTAATATCAAACACTACAGAGTCTGGAAGAGACCTAACATAAAGACCTAGGAGTCATGTTACCTATCAGTCTAGGTGTACGGTAAAACTTTGGAAACCAAAATAGATTGCAAGAAATTAAGATCTATGTACTGAAGGAGTTAGGCTATTACTTTTCTTCCAGAAAAAGACTGACAGAAGGAAAGAAGGAACTGGAACAGTATTTTGAGGGAAGGGGTTTATCTGACCATATCCGGAGATTGAGGGAAAAGTCCGATTTACTGTAGAAGGAGAAACTGATTAATATGAGACACAAAAATGTTAATTGATAAAGAAGAAACCAAAGGTCAACAGGAGAAAATGAGACAAAAGGACTAAAAAGAGAATGGCCTTGTAGGAAAGAAGAAAATATGAAAAGGGTAGAAAGAAAAATTTTCATTTCAAGGACAGAAAATAGAAGGTATCTCAGTAAAGTAAGTATAGAAGTCACCAATAGGAAGAAAAGAAAGAAAGAATGTGAATAGAGGCTTGAGGTAGAGTGCAACGTTTTGGAATTGGTCCTTTTGGGGAAAGTATTAAACTGAGCAGTGCTCCTCAACATGCAGGGCCATAGCTCTGTGTCAGAATTACTTGGGGGGTTGGCCCCCTGGCGCACTCAGGAGAGTGCGGCACTGGGAGCGCAGAGACGCTCCCGCCGCGGGTTCAGATCCTATATAGGAATGGCCGGTGCACTCACTGGCTGAGCGTCGTGCGGGCGACACCAAGCCGAGGGTTGGCGATTCCCTTACCGGTCACGAAAAAGACAAAAAAAAAAGAATTACTTGGGAAAGTGATAGAAATGCAAATTCAAGGGCATTAAGATTCTGGATTCCGGATTTTAACAAGGCTCTCCAGGTGATTCTTATGTACACAAAGCTTTGAGATGGACTGAATTAGAGAATCTCACTAACATATAAGAGCTGTGAATTGTCCACAAGTCAGAAAGCAGAAATTTAGAGCTCATGATACACTCAAAACAATTCACAGCAATAATTCTAGGGTCTGACCATGCCAGTGGGTAGCTACAGATAGATTTGAAAAATGCAAAAAAGAACTGTATCATCAAATCAGGACAGAGAGATGGGATAGAGAAG